TGACAAACGCCGAGACGAACGCAAAGACAATGGCAACGGTGACGGAGTAGGAGATCTCGCGGTAGGCGTTGATCAAGTCGTTGATCACTTTCTTGAGCGGCACGTATGAGCTGATGAACTCGTAGATGGTGTGGCCAAAGGCCTGGCCCTGAAGTATCGCCAACTCCGGTATACAGCGGTAAAGAATCGCTTTCCTATGGCATTAAAATATGGGATCAATTAGTTTTAAGCGCTTAAGACATGATCAACAACTAAAATCTAGGTTAAAATCACGCTAACGTCGAGTGGACGGGTAGCGTAGGACAGGGCCCGGTGCTGGACAACGAGTTCATCTGGTGATCGTTGCGCTGGAACTGTTGCTCCAGGGGTTGGGCGGCGGTTGAGGTGAAGTTGTAGTCGTATCGGCACAGAGAGGATTGGGTGCGGGTGTAGAACGAGTAGATGTCGGCCAGACTCGACAGCTCACGGGGCGGACACTTCTTCACGCATAGCCGGAGCGACGATTGCGGGTTGTTTTGGTCCAAATGAAACACGTAACTGATTCCCAGGATAATGGGGTGATCATAGGGTACAGACAATATGCATGTGTTAGACATGGAGTAAAGCTATGATAGTCTTGTGGAGGTAGAGAACTCGAAGAATGGTATGAAAAACTAGTTTAAGACCTATTTTATGTGTTTAACCGGTGTTTTAGTATACAGTATATGAGAGGAACAGATGGCTAACCGACAAATCCCTCCCCCTATACGACACTTGTTGGCCGCAAATACTAAACTCTGCATCAGATTACTGACTATACTGAACGTGGTGTCTCTATAATCTACTAATGAATATGTGGTACACTATAAGACAATTCCAAGACATTAAACATTATTGAATGGTTTGGCGAAATACAGGGGCGGAAAGGGTGTGTCAGTACAACAATACAGACAACTTATGGTGTAAACTACACGTACGGCTTGTCCAGCATATCGAGACCGGAGAGTTGCATGTCGTCCATCAGGTCATTCT